ATTTTAGAGCAGAAAATAATTTAGTTTGAGACATCAGCTCTTTATATATTGGTGGGAATAAAGTCAAATATCAGCTGCCACTTCATTGCTTTTCTTATCCCATCAGCACCTCTATTCCCATCTGTATAAGAACCCTTCCTGAAACACCCTCCTGTTTTACTTATGTAAAGTTGAATTGATCTGTTATTAAATTATTTGACGAGTTAACTTATGACTCTTGGAATTTAGGAAATGTGAAAGTGAAGATGGTAGCGAGTGGGAAGATGTGGACGATGAGAAGGGGAGCGGTAGTGACGATGTCTATGACACTGCAGGCCTGGTGTCAGATGATGACATGGCTGCCCCTGGGAAACCTCTTACACCCATGGAAAAGCACTTGTTCTGGGATGAGGAAACAAAAAGTCGGTTTACAGAGTATTCTATGACTTCCTCAGTCATGAGGAGAAATGAACAACTGACCCTACATGATGAGAGGTTTGAGAAGGTGAGGTCCCCATAAAAGATGTTTTAGTATTTTCTCTAGTAACTGTACTTCTAAAAAAGTGAGAAAAAAGCTATGACTTTCTTTCAAAGCCTAAATTGTAGTGTACTTGATTTGGTTCTTCTATCATGAGTTTTCTCCAGAGCTTCCAATCCTGTTCTCTAGACTATCTTTAGTCTCACCCATCCTGTCCTGTAGCACTTTCCTCCACCTCGTATCATCTCTCTTAACATGCTTATTTATTGTTTGTTGTATCTAGATTTGTCTCACATTGCAATGTTAGTTTGCCAAGGGCAGAGATTCTTATGTGATTTGCTCACTGGTACATGCCTAGCCCTAACGTGGTATCTGGCATACAGTAGGCATTCACTGTCCAATAAATGATGAGTGAGTTAAGGAATGGTTCCCTTCCAGGTAAACCCAAGACGGTTCTAACTTTGCTACAATCTCATAACATGTTAGGTTCCCTCTTCTGTGAAGAGAGGCAAACAGTTGCTGGGTGTGGTGGTAGCGTACACCTGTAATCCCAGCTACTTAGGAGTCCAAAGCAGGAGGATTAAAAGTTCGAGGCCAGCCCAAGCAAATTATTAAGACCCTGTCTCAAAAATTTTTAAAAAGGGGTGGGGATATGGCAAGAGCTCTTGGCCTGGCATGTGCAAAACTCTGGGTTCATTTCCCCAAACCAAAAGAATAAAAAAAAAGAAGCCAACTGTTACTACAAATAACCTCACTTGTCAGGAGATACATCAGCATTTGCATACTCTTTGACAAAGGCTAACATTGTAAATGCTATTTGAATAATATAATAAATACCATCCAAAGAAAAATAGAATTATACATTAATAGGAGGCTGTGTTCAATTACAAGCTCTTTTAGTCTTTATAACCAAAGAATTTGAAAATGTTTGTTTGTTTGTTTTTTTGTTTTTAGTTGTAGATGGACACAATACCTTATTTAATTTATTTATTTTTATATGTGGTGCTGAGGATCAAACCCAGGACCTCACATGTGCAAACAAGTGCTCTACCACTGAGCCACGACCCCAGTCCCTTTTTTTTTTTTTTTTGTTCCCGGGATTGAACTCAGGTGCACTCAACCACTGAGCCACATTCCCAGTCCTATTTTATATTTGATTTAGAGACAGGGTCTCACTGAGTTGCTTAGCACCTTGCCATTGCTGAGGCTGGCTTTGAACTCACGATCCTCCTGAGTCAGCCTCCCCAGCCGCTAGGATTACAAGCATGCGCACCACCATGCCTGGCCTGAAGATGTTTTTAAAATGTTCTGAGGTAAGGAGCTCTGCCTAGCATTTTATTCTCTAAGCTCAGTAGAGTAACTCCTTTTCATTTTAATTGGAAGCCTATTTTCAGTCTAAATGTGAATCTGGAATACTGGCTTGAAATCTGAAATATCTTTAAATCCTATTATGGTGCTAAATCCCTGCAGATATTTTAATGGTAGTTAGGATCTTGAAGTAGTTTTTAAATAGTGAGTAGAAATAATGTTGACATACAACATTTAAATACTGGAGTTAATGAATTTGTTTATTTTTAATGGTATGTTTTTTTCTATTTCAAGTTTTATGAACAATATGATGATGTTGAGATTGGAGCTCTGGATAATGCTGAATTGGAAGGTTCCGTTCAAGTAGATAGCAATCGCTTACAGGAGGTTTTGAATGACTACTATAAAGAGAAGGCAGAGAAGTAAGTAAACTTTCCTTTCCCTGTTTAGCTGCTTCCCCCCCACCCCATCTCCAAATGAGATTTGTAGTGCTACAGTGAAATTCTTGTCAGATTCCATTAATAAGGAAATAGTACATTTTTTATAAACTTTGGCTCATAGATTGCTTGTCAGTTTTGCCTGCATTTTGATATTAAGAATTCTGAAGCCAGCTGGGCTCAGTAGTGCACACCTGTAATTCCAGCGGCTCAAGAGGTTGAGGCAGGAGGATCTCGTTCAAAGCCGGCATCAGCAAAAGCAATGTGCTAAGCAACTCAGTGAGACCTTGTCTCTAAATCAAATACAAAATAGGGCTAGGGATGTGGCTCAATGGTTGAGTGTCCCGGAGTTTAGTCCCCAGTACCGCCTCCCCCACCCCCAAATAAAGAATTCTAAAGCTAAATATGACAGTGGGAGCATGCTGGGAACCACATTTTCTGTATTCTTGACTTAAAAAGAGTCATGGTTGGATAACTGAGTGTCAGTGGAAAACGGGGAGTAGGGTGGTGGTTCTAGCCTCCTTGGCTGAAGAATTACTTCAACTTATGCACTTTGTTTTCATGTTTATGGAGTGCTGGGTGTTGCTGAGTATTCTGAAAAACAGGTAGTCATGGCTTATAAAGGAATAATAGTTTTAATCTCAGTTGATTTGCAGAACTGACTAGTGAATTTTGTTGTGAATTAGTATCTGCATCAAGGTGACTTTTTTCTGAGAGAAACTCATGAGGAGTTTAAATCTTCCAGAAAGGTCAGATGTTCCATGATTTCTGAAATATGCAGATCCCACAGCAGGAAAAGAAGCTACACACTTGGAGTGAATGATATAAATACTTTGGAGAGATGGATTGGCTAGTGCTTTTTTAGGCCTTAAAAAATTCTGTCTTCTTCATCTTGTTTAATACATAACCATATAAACTTGCCAATAGATCTCATTTATCAGCAGAGTAAATGTCTAAAACCCACTGACATAGGAATATGTGGGTTTAAAAAATTGTTAAAGAGTTTCTGTAGTTGTTTTAGTCACATATAATAACGAGGAAATTTCCCGTCTTCTTTTGTCTTCATTTTTAAAAACATAACCAAAAGCTGTGTAAAATTGAATACTCTTGAACCCTTTGAGGATCAAGACCTACCAGTGAATGAGCTTGATGAGTCTGAGGAGGAAGAGATTATTACTGTAGTCCTTGAAGAAGCCAAAGAGAAGTGGGATTGTGAATCCATTTGCAGTAAGTATCTTTGTGCCTACTCTACTGCCATAAATGTGATAGTAATTTTAAAGTATTAAGTACATCAGCTTTGAAAAAGTACATCTATTTTAGTAGTAAGTTTTTAGGGAACTTATGAAAAGGGCTTAAAAGAGTAATATTTTCTATTATTGAATTATAAACAATTTAAAAACATTTATGAGGGAGACTCCACTGTTATTTTGTACTACAAAAACACCAAGGTCAGCAATATAGTGACCTTAGTAAAATATGCTGAACTAGAAGTGCACTTATTGATGCATGATTTTGGGGGGTTTGTGAAAAGAATTAGGAAGTAGTAATATTTCTATTAATGAGTTGTAAATAATTTTAAAATGTTTAAGAGAGACTCCAATGTTATTTCACATCACAAACACTAAGGTCAGGAATATAGTGGGATTTTAGTGCTTAACTGAAAGTGTACTTAATTAGTTCATGACTTTTGTTTTTTAGGTACATACTCAAATTTATATAACCATCCACAGCTTATCAAATATCAACCAAAGGTAAGCCCTGATATCCTAAGCTTTTTGAAATGTCCAATATGGGAAGAAGAGTGTACAAGTTTTCTCACAGTAGCTATCCCTTTGTGGCTGACAGCACTATTAGGAATAGCACCAGCAGTGAGCTATTTTTAAGATATGGGCAATAACTCTAGTGTCATTTCATCTTTTTATTTCAGCCCAAACAAATCCACCTATCTTCTAAAACAGGAATACCTCTCAACGTCTTACCTAAGAAAGGGCTTACAGCAAAGCAAGTGGAACGAATGCAGATGATTAATGGCAGCGATCTGCCCAAGGTATCAACCCAACCACGTTCTAAAAATGAAAGCAAAGAAGACAAAAGAGCAAGAAAGCAAGCTATAAAAGAGGAGCGCAAGGTAAAATATGTTTTTTAAATACAAGATTTATAAAGATTTGGTGGAGGGGAAATTTCAGGAGTTTTCTCCTGTGAAAGTAGTCTCTATTAGTTTAAAGATATGAATAACATGAGGATCCTCTTATACAGGAACGAAGAGTAGAGAAGAAAGCTAACAAATTAGCATTCAAGCTGGAGAAAAGAAGGCAGGAAAAGGAGCTGCTGAACTTGAAGAAGAATGTTGAGGGTCTAAAGCTATAGACAGCTGAATGTTGAGGATAAAGCACGTTCCCCGTTATGGGCTCCTTGTTATGTTCAGTTTATCCAGGATGTTAAGAGAGACAAGGCTGCTTGCCATTTTTACTGGCAGATGTTGAAGAGAAAAATACAATATTTGTATTGTTTTCCTACCAGCAAGTTTCCCCTGTCAACTGTCTTGTAAATATTGTATTGTTTTAAATTTAATATTATAAGCTTAGATTTGCTCTAAAATAAATGACTTCATGAATGTGAAATGTTTGGATAAATTAAAGGAAAATATCTTCATAACTTGAACGGAATTGGTGTATTCATTTATTTGTATGGTTGTCATAGTTGTTTTTCGCAGATGTTCTCAAATATTTCTTTGAAACTTCTGCACGCCTTTTCAGGAATTACATGGTTTAATTTGCTGTATGTAGAAAAGTGGCCTGGTTAAACTCAATTTTGAAATGCTGAGTTTATTCTGCTCAGTGGTGAGAATAGTTTTCATGAGAACATTCCTCTAGTAGGAAGCTGTTTTCCCTTGCTGTATACAAAAAGAACATTTCAGAAGGATGGGAAACTTAATATTAAAGTTGTTAGCAGTTAGATTTCCTGTTATGTGACTGCATGACTATCTTATGGGATTTAGGAACAGTGAAGTCAGGAAACAGAGAAACTGAAGAAGTAATCAAGAAAACTTCTTTGGCTTTAAAGAATCCCTAGCTGAAAATCAGATATTTATTCACTTCAGTTTAAACTAGAAAGTTTAATCTTTTCATCCATATTTAATGTTCAGACCCACTTATGCTTAATTAAAATACAGATTGAAAACTTTCCCTCCTTTCAGTGAGTTGTTTTGTGTAACATCAACTGTTCCAAAGTTTAAGCAGTGACACCATCACAATTGTTAATTATTTGGTAAACTGTGACTTCTTGCAACTGACAAGTGGCCCTTGTTCATGTGTCCCTGCCTAATGTGGTGTTATATGGACTGGACTCTGAAAATCTGTGGACACTATTCATCTGAATGAGGAACAGCATGGCTGGGACTGAGCCATTTTTGGCAGGTGAGCTGAATTTGATATCTGACTTATTAGAAGGGTCTTCATCTGGAATTAATTTGAGTATGGTTTTTTCAAAGCTGATAGGTATCACTTTATTCTGCCAAATTAATTTTTTTTAAAGAGTTATATGAAAACCAACAGCATAGGTATTCTATCAACATTGATTTTTTTTTAAGTAAATAAATAAATAAAAAGCGTGGCTACACAGCTTGTCATTATAGAAGTTGGCTACCAGTATCTAAATGCCAACCTGTAGAAGCAAAGAGTCAGTTGGTGGCTTATGTGAATATAGGGGATGTAAATCCTGAAAGGATTGACAATTTTGGTAATTGTCTCAACTGAAGTTTCTCAAAACCAGCAAGAATGTTGTAGACATTTGATATTACTTGATTCTGGTGCTACTTTCAAGTTTAAGTTAGCATATGATGTATTTTGCTGTTAGGAGAATGTGACCAACCTCAATTTTGAAGCATATCATAATTTAGGCTGATTATATTCCCTACTTAAAGGTTTGATTTTATTCTGGAGAATAAAGTCACAGAAATTAAAACAAATTTGCTAATATTTTGTTTTATTTCACCTACCACCCCTAGCCCCAAACTGTCTTCCACATCAGGCACTCAAGTTGGCCAACATTTTAGCCGTCTGTAAACAGTGTCTGGAAATGGAACATACATGCTCCTTGCTAAATGATGGCAGTTCCCAGAGATAAAGGATTTTGCCTTCAAGAACCACAGATCAGAGGAGGCAGGGTGTGTGCAGCAAAGATAACTGGCAGTGCCGGCACTGTGCTAAGTACCACTTGTAATGGGGACCTTGGTACTTACTGATCCCTTGAAGGTTCTTAAGTTTGTGCTTAGTTGCCCCCTTCTCCATAAGCTTTTTCCTGAGCATGTGTTTAAAAATAACATACCCGCCTTCTTGGCATTCTTTATCCTCCCCTGCTTTAGGTTTTCCATGACATCTGTTGACATCTGAAACTCTTTTTTTGGTCTCCTCTCAGTAGAGGAAGGCAGAAAATTTTTGCCTTATCCCAGTGTTTAAGATAATCCCTGTCATTTGTAGAATCTCTAAGTAGGATATGAGTGAATGGGCACATAGGAAAGGCATTTCAGAAAATACTTAGAAGTAACTCTAGTGCTTGGACTTCCTGGGGTTAACAAGGAGGAAGACCTAAGATCCCAGAGAAGGAACAAAGTCGAGAAGAATTTGCCTGTATATTTTATTTGGTTTAAGCATGGTCCACGATTGGTTCGAAGCCACTTCAAATATTTCAGCGCTACTATTATATTTAATTCTGGATATCCTAACTGCTGTAAACTGTCCATGTTTACAGTTTACAGCAGTGTCATCTGTGACACACTGTATCCCACAATATCATTGTGATGTCATCACATCAACTCAGGTAAACAGCAGAACTCTGACTGCCTTGTGACCTTACTGTTAATATTGTCTATACTTTTGTTTCCTCATGTGTCTTGATACTGGTTTGCTTTCTCAAGTTTGTCCTAATTAAAAGACAAAAGAAAGATAAAGGGCAGAAGGTAAAAATTCTAATGGCCTTATGTTTTAGTTGTGAAACTTGCAAAACATGCCCACTTTTCAAGTTAAGAGTAGAACTAATAGGCCTGTACATCTGTAGACCTATTCTCAATTTCATTTTATTCTTTCCCCTCAGGAAACTTTCAGTCATACATCAATGATCTAGGCTACTATGCATATTTTTTTCCCTAAATCATCTTTATGGTATATCTGAATGCAGAATCTTCTTTATTTTGGAACAGCTGAAAAAGAAGCATAAACCCAGCTCTGTGAAGTCAGTATTTGCTGTGAAGGCATCCTTGAAAGGATAAACCAAATAGTCTCTGGGACTGACTTCAGTTTCTAGAGTTCATAGGAGTCCCACGTGTTCTTGTTATTGAGTGAGGCGATGAGTCCTAGGAAGTAAGTTACCACATTAGGAGAATGTGACTAACCTCAATTTTGAAGCATATTGTGATTTAGGCTGAGTATACTCCATACTTAAAGATTTGATTTTATTCTGGAGAATAAAGTCACAGTAATTACAACAAATTTGCTAAAATTTTTATTCTACCCATCACCCCTAGCCCAAACTGTATCTTCTGAACCAGGAACTCAAGTTGGTTAACATTTTAGTTGTCTGTAAACAGTCTGGATCTGAAGAACTGTGCTTAGGGGGATATATCTTCTGCTTCTGAGCTAACCATGGTCTATTCCCATCTCGAGATTAACGTACTATCTTGTGGGATGAGATAAACATCCTTAGCACATCTTGACATAAAGATGTAAAGGAAAGAACAGAAACTTCATTGGGTCATGGTCAAATGAGCCAAACAGAGAACAGAATGTTGGTCAGATTTCTTTGGATATACCACCCTAAGAATGTAAAGACATGTCTTGGCACTGATGGCCAAGTAGCATTGAATAGACTGAGCTTTGTTGTAGAGTGGGTTGTAGGGCTCACCTAATGTCAGTATTTTCAGGTATTTCCTAGTTGGATGATTAGATTACCAGGGAAGTTTTAATTCAATTCTGCCTTGAAGGTAACGGTCTGGCAGGCAAGTTCTGTAAGCCTAGGAGAGGAAGAAGAGGTATGTGGTATTCTCTGCTTTCAGTGTAACTTTTTGTGAGATTAGCCACTATAATTTACATATGGACACACACATGTACATCTAGATACATGCACCTACAGTCGGTCCTCATTCATGGATTCTCTATTTGCAAATCTACTACTGGCTAAAATTTCCTTCTAACACCCAAAACTACTCAGGGCACTTTTACAGTCTTTTTTGGAGATATACATAGTCGTAAAAAAGGAACCCAACAAACATTCCCAAATGAGATCAAACAAGGTGTGCCCTCAGGTTTAAGGTCTCATATTGTAAACAAGTGCTCTTTTCAGGGTCAACTTGTCGACTTAGCTCTCCTTTTTTTTTTCTGTTTCCATTCTTGGTACCTTTTTTTTTTTTTGATGATGATTTCATTGTTTAAAATGGCTGCCAAGCTTAGTGCTGAAGTGCCATCTAGTGTTCCTAAGCACCAGGCTGTGATGTGCCTTAAAGGCACGGGTGTTAGGTAAGTTTCATTCAAGCATGAATGCTAGTTGGCATGAATTCAATGCTATTGGGTCAGCAATATATATTAAGTAGATGTCTCTAAACAGGAACACACATTAAGTAAGGTTTTGTATTGATCCATTGTCAAATATTTTTTTGTTTGACCTGAGATCCACAGAAACCTAACCCTGCATTTCTGAGCAGTGGTTCCGTATTTGCTAATTCAGGGATTCGGTGACTTTATAGGACCTAATTACCACAATGAGAAGGTCATATATGTGAATAAGTATCCGTACCTACCGAGCTGCCTGTTTTTGCTGTAGTACCCACACCTTCAGCTGTCCCTTGCATTGGTCAGTGTGCAGACTTTCTTTCCAGAGAAGAGGCAGCTAGAGAAACGAGCAGTCATCCAGAGGTTCCCCGCGGGATGTGGGGGATGGTGGTTCAGATTTCCTCTTGGTTCTTCATACTTTGACACTCTTCATCCTCATTCACCTGCACCAGTTACAGAGCTTCATGGTGCCCCAGGGTTCCTATGACTTGGGTTCTGTGGTGTGATGTGGTTCTCAGTTCTCCCCTGGGAAACAGATTTTGAAATAGTTCTAAGTCTTCCATGTCACTTACCATGTCTATCAGCTTTCTAGATCCCAGTTTTCTGTTGTTAACTTTCCTCTCTGTCCTCGGGGTTCTTTTTCCATGTCGCTTTGTCCCTTGACTGCAGTTTCATTGGAGCTTGGCAGAGAGCAAAATTAAATGGGGCATTCTTTCTGTCATCCAAACTGAATGGTTTTTAGTTCCTTTTCTTATTTCATGACTTATGTTCCCTAGATTTAGTTGATAAATTGAGGCATTGTGGCAGCCCCTTGCCATAGGGCCATGGAAGATATTGATATTGCTAAATATTTGCATGTTCTGGACTGCAGAGAACCTAAGAATTCTTTGTTGACATGTGAATGAAGACATTGTCTTCCTTCTCTCCCATGCCATGTATCTCTGAAAGCATTTTTAACTTCCAGCTCAGAAAAGGAGTATTTAATCAGAATCAAGTCAGTGGTCGAACTTTTTTTTATTCTATTCCTCCTTATCTTTGTTTCTTATAAAGCTTTTGAGCTCAGATATTTATGAAGCTTAGTTTTATTTTTGTTTTGGTAAGCAAAATAACTTTTTTCCTCATTAAAAAAATTTTCAAGTATCATAAACAAATGTTTAAAAAGAATAGCCACCATAATAGTTGACTAAGTATGAATCCAAGTAGAGGGGGAAAAGATAGAAATAGCTGTTGATCCCAGGTGTGTGGTGGTGGATGCCTGCAATCCCAGCAACTTGGGAGGCTGAGGCAGGAGGATCACAAGTTGGAGGCCAGCACCAGCAACTTAGCAAGGCCCTATCTGAAAATTTAGAATTTAATAAAGAGCTGGGAATGTAGCTCAGTTGTAAAAATGTTACTGGGTTCAATCCCCAGTATGAAGGAAAGGGAAGAAAGGAATGTTGGTACTGTTATAGACATTTTCTATCAAAGGTGTTCTCCATGTTTTTGAAAGTTACTCATTAACTCTGATTTAAAAAAAAAAAAGTAATGCATACTCTTTGTATAAAAAAAAAACTTGAAAATGCAGGACACTACAGAATAATCACATTTATTCTTACTTCCAGAGGTAGTTTCTGTGTGTGCATATGTCTTTTCAGACTTTCCTTGTAAATATATGAATGCATAAAATTTATCAACATTTTCCATGTTATTCTCTTACAGAGCATTTTTAATTGTTATATTTTATTTTTCAATTGTTAGTCTGTTCCTCTAAAGAGCCAAATAATATGATTATTTGCTCATACAGGTCATGTGGTCTCTGCTACAACTGCACAACTTTGCTGTGTAGTGTAAAAGCAACAATAGATACTAAACAAATGAGCATGACTGCTCCCATAAAACTTTATTTACAAAACATAGTCCCAGATTTGACCCACAGGCTTAGTTTGCTGACCCCTGGATAGTAATTTTGAATGTTTTTTTGACATGATTACAGCTTCACAAAAAGTTGCAAAATAGCATGCAGTGATCTCATACGTCCTTTACCCCATTTTCCCCAAGTTATATCTTAACTACAGTACCACATCAAAAGCAGGCAATTGACATTGGTACAATGTGTGTTTGTAGTTCTAAACTTTTTGTGTGTGTGTGTGATAATACTGGGGATTGAACCCAGAACGACTGTACCACTAAGCTACATCCTCAGCCTTTTTATTTTAAGGCAAGTTCTTGCAAACCTCCTGGCTCAGCCTCCCAAGTCACTGGGATTACAGATGTGAGCCACTGTGCCCAGCAGTTCTATACCATTTAAACATGCATAACCACTACCACTGAAGAAGATAAAGATCGATTCCATCATGTGAAGATCTCCCTCATTCTATCCCTGTCAGAACAGTTCCTGTCCCTCGACAATCTAATGTTTCTCATCTGTTTAATTTTATATGTTGAGACTGACATTCAAATAGAATAATGCAGTATATGACTTTTAGAAATTGACTTTTTTTCCTCCAGATTTAGATCCAGCTAGGTTGTTGCAAGTATCAGTACTATTCCTTTTTATTGCTGTGTAATATTTTAGGGTATGGATATACCACAGTTTAACCATTCACGTACTGAGGGAATTTTGGTTATTGCAAAGGGTTCTTTTAAGGTTGTAATGATTTTCATGTGATTCAATATATGGTGCCATAATCTATGCAGCTCTTTGATCCCCACGCTCAGTTTTGCTGGCGAGGAAATAGACAAGCTTCAAACTTGGGCATGTAGTAGTCTGTCTGTATCCAAGTTTTGAATTGAATCTTATTGTGCCTTTTCTGCTTTGTACTGGGGATTGCACCCAGGGGCTTTTACCACTGAGCTATAACCCCAGTTCTTTTTATTTATGTATTTTTTTTAAGACAGTGTCTTGCTAAATTGCTGAGGCTGGTCTCAAATTTGTGATCCTCCTGTCTCAGCCTCCCAAAAAGCTGGGACTATATAGGTGTGTGCTACTGGACCTGGCATATCTGTCATTATTTTATACTGTTTGAATTAATTAAAACTCACTGATTTAAACCCAAGGTCATTGATTTGATTCTCTAGGAATTTCTAGTTGCTTTGCAGATAACATGCTGACTTAATAGTAGATTTATAGTTATAGTGCTGATTGAATTTATAATCTGAATACTTGTAGATGGAGACTCGGGTTCAGGTCTCAATGTTACCTGAGGTTTTAGAGACATTACCCAACCTTGAGTCTCCATTTTCTTCTCTGTTAAAATAGTACCAATGCAGTCTCTCAGGGGTGCTGTGAAGGACAAATAAATAGAGAAGGAGTTTTGGGAAAAGGAGAACATATAAATGTTTGTCATATTCATAAAAAGAGTTATCCTTCGCAAGTGTTTTAGAAAAAGCAACATTTTACATTTTTATTTACAAGGAAGCATGTGGAGGGTTGTGGTAACTTTGCTGAAAGTAAAATTTAAGACCCAGTTTTAGAGTCCAGAGGCCCAAAGAAGAGGGGGGAAGAGAGATCTTCGTGTGTGCAGAGGTGGATGACCCGAGTTGAAAATACGATACCAATTAACAGACGTGAGAAAAAATCGTTTAAATCAACAACGTCTGCAGCAGGCTACCATCTGCTTCCTGTTAACCAGACCTTCCTTTTGCAAATTGTCTCCCCCTGGTTTCCATGACCCTGCTCTCTCCTGCTTCTCCTGGCTTGTCGTCCTCCTTTTCTTGGCCCTTCAATGTGAGTTTCCCCCAAGGATCTTCTCTGCACTTCTCTCTCCATGACTCCTTCCCTGGCTGTCTCTGCCTTGACTTCATTCCTCAAAGCCTGCATCTGTGTGTCTGACCCTGACCTCCCCGTTTCCCTCCTGCTGGCTGCATGACTCGATTTCAACTCGGTGCTTCCAAGGCTGAGGTCATTTTCCTTCCTAAGATGGTCTTCCTTCAAGCTCCCTGTTTCCATCCGCAGCCCCATGTCTTCTCAGGCCTTCTGCCTGTGAGCTGAGCATGGTCCTCAGCTCCCTTCTCTCTCTGCCACAGTCCACCCCCATCCCCAGGCTACTCAGGGCATAGAATCTTTGACATGTTTCCCTTTCCATTGCAGGCATCCACTTTCAGCTTTTAAATCAAACTCCCTTCTTCTCCTAGCACCTGTGTTACGTGACTCTTCCACTTCCAGTTCAGTCCCTGGTTGTTCCCTTATTTGTAAAGCCCACACGATGATTCTAATATCAAATCCATGCTCAGACCTCAAACTGCTTTTTAAAATCTTTACATACGGCAGAGAAACCAAAAGGAAGTTATATATATGAGAAATTTTTAAACATTCAGAATTTTGTTTTTCTTTTGATAAATTTTCTAACCACTTAAAAAAATTGTCTTCCTTTTTTTTTTGTACTGGGGATTGAACCCAGGGCACTTAACCACCGAGTCACATCCCCAGCCCTTTTTTATTTTTATTTAGAGACAGGCTCTCACTGGGTTGCTTAGGGCCTTGCTAAATTGCTGAGGCTGGCTTTGAAATTGCGATCCTTCTGCCTCAGCCTCCTGACTCACTGGAATTATAGGCATGTACCACCACACTCAGCCATCTTTCTATTTTTCTAGGCTGAACTTCATATATGGTTTCTCTCTCAGGATTTCCACAGAGCTGCATATAGTAGATATTTGATTTATTGAATGAGTGATTGGCCCTATGGTAGAAATTCAGTTCTTGTTTGGCTTACACCTTCAACCAGGACTTACTGAGCACCTCACTATGGGCTTTTTGAGGCATGGGGCTATCTATCATAGGCACTTAGGCCTTCAGCCGAGTAAGGAATCCCAAAGATGATGATGTTGGATCATTTATAACCTTATGCTAAGGTACTGACTTTGTACTTAGGTCTTAAGCATAGCTATTTAAGAATATCTGAAACACCAAATAAATAGACTCTGGTTTGCCTAAAGGTGATGGAATTTACTTGTTTAGTAAAGTGAGAAGTTTATATGAGGAAAGGAAAAGAGGTGAGTTTCCAAAGGATCTTTTAAGAGGAGGAAGCAGAGGTGGAGAGGGAAAAGACTGAGTGCCTCAGGCTATTGAGGTCACCTCCAGTCAGTCACTTCTTCTCGGCCAGGCAATTCCATGAAACTAACATAATGTGCTCTTGAATCTTATGCAGATGGCAATCAGGAGTTATTTCCCTGTGAAGTCTGTGGAAGACGCTTTGCAGCAGATGTTCTGGTAAACATGAAGACATTTTGTATAGATGTGTTTCGTTGAAGTTAAATGAACTGTCAAGTCAGTGAGGAGAGGTGGTGGTGCCAAGATTAAAGACAGATGTGGAGGGGAGACAAGGAAAGAGAAGAACATCACCTATGGCTGCCAGGCCTGGAGGACACTGAGGCAGGCTGCTGCCGCCACGTTGAAAAATGACCCTACTTACCATGGTCTTCCTAAAACCATGCCACATGGAAGGGTCTTGGCATAGCCGGTTATCCCTTGAGAGGTTTTGGCTCTTCCGCCTTTTCTTTAAGCATCAAAAATTCAAATTTCAAGGCCAAAACACCAGGGAAATTAGCTAGTCTAGAGGAATGAGCATTGAATTTCAGGCATCTGGAAACTTGGCTTTTAGCCGCAAATTTGTCACTATTCTGACAAGTCCTTTAGCCTTCCTGTTTTCTGCTTTGCCACGTATACAGAGCCCTCCAATTTCAGGGTTTTTAGACCATTTGAACAAAATAATATATGGATATAAGGCCTGATCCAAATTCAAGCTGTGTATCAAGTTCCCTGGTTTGATGGCTATCAAGTTGAATAAAAGCTTATTTCAAAATTAGGGGGTCAAGCAGATGATAGACCCCAACGTTGTAAAGATTCCCAAGAAAGATTATTTTTTAAAAAAATATCTAAGATGATAAGACAATCATTGGTCAGGACATTTCAGATCAAGGACACTTTCATGGAACATAAAGGATTTGGACTAGAATCTACATTTGGAGGCTATACAATAAACTGGTGGGTTTTACTTGGGGATTTTAAAAATAAAATATCTGTTCTTCTAGTTTTCCTGGGTTATAGCTCCTTGAAACCAGAGGGGAAGCTCACAGGACCTGCTCTGGCCCTCTAATTCACCAGGGCACTGCCCTTACCTTTACCAGCTTAGAGCTGCACCTCCTCAGAGTAGTGAGACCTAGGAGGTTCATAAGGAGAGGGATCACTAAATGTCAAGTATGTTTTGGAAGTTCCAGGTTTTACTCCCTAAGCCTATCTCCAGACTACAGGGAGCAACATTTGATCAAGTGATCTGATCTCTCTCCTTCAGTTTAACCAGACGCAGTGATTTTTATAGTCTTTATTTTGTTGAGTCTGGACAACGCAACTTTGTAAATGATAGCTATTATGTGGTACATATCCACCAAGGAAGAGGGTGAAGAAGTTGATGTGACCCCATAGGGGCACAAGAACTGATTTAAGAAGGTGTACATAGGCAGAGCTCTATGTGAGTGTCCTCCACTCCTTGTGCCAGAAATGTTGAGTACCTGAAGGATTACTGGTTGGAGCAAACAGCATAGTGCCCAAGTTTTAAAGTTAAACATAAAAGCAAAGTTGAAGCTGTGTAGCTGTTGTGTTTAGCCTTCCACCACTCTAACAAAATACGTGAGATAATCCATTGGTAGAGAGAGAAGGTTTATTTTGACTCTCCGTTTTGGAGGACCCAGACCATGATCAACTGGCCCTGTTGCTTTGGACTTGTGGCAAGGCAGCTAGCACATCGTGATGGTAGAAGCATGTATTAGAGCAAGATCACTCACCTCATAGCTAGGAAGCAAAGGAAAGCAGGAAGGAAGGGACTGGAGTCCCACAATCTGCTTTAAGGATATGCCCCAAATGACCTCAAGATCTCCTGCTTTAGGAGGGGTTAATCTCTAGGTTCCATAACTTCCCTGTAGCACCAGTCTGAGGACCAAGCCTTTAAGGCTTGGGCCTTTGGGAGATGATCAAGATCCAAGGAGCTATAAAGGGCCTTGTATTGTCTTTGACCAAACACATTATCTAGTTCCATGTTAGATGGTTGAAGAGAACCAACTAGATTTGATCTGCTGTGGTCTGAGAGTTAAGGAAAATGTAAGTTCTGAAGGAGCAAGCCAGTCACTATGGGGAGATTGGGGGTAAGTACACCTAGGGATTAAAAACTTTGTAACGTGCATTTTCAAAATTCCAATCCCTTCCCTTCCTTGTCTAGGAAAGACATGGACCAATATGTAGAAAACTCTTCAACAAAAAGCGTAAACCTTTCAACTCCTTGAAGCAAAGATTACAGGGCACTGACATTCTTACAGTGAGGAAGACTACTCACTCCCAGGTACTAGCAATATCTTCTTCATTATTCTTTATTATAGTAAGTACATTGAAGCCCATTCCTCAGTTCTATGGTTTTATTTTTGCTTGATAAGGCATTGTAATGTCATTTAAGTATAATTTGCCTTTATCCTTCTCTTTATAATCTTGCTCACTTAGATTTCCAAATATATTTCAGACACTTTCCAGATGTGGAAAAAAAATCTTGTTTATGCTTTCATTACAGTGGTTTTACATTTAGCAATTAAGAAATTGAATCTTGCCATTTGTCTTCCTTTAAAGTTGTATAGCTTGTTTTTCTGATCATTGTTATTATTTATTTTTTGTAGCATTGGGGATGGAACCCAGGGCTTCATGCATGCTAGGAAAGCACTCTACCACTGAGTTACATTCCCCTGCCCCAGATTTTTATTTTTGTTTTTTCTTACTACTATTGTGACTTGCAGACTTTATGACCATAGTGTCCAAATCTCTTTAAATAGAGCTTTTGAAAAATAAATTCTCCTTTTTCTCCGAATTTCACAGTCTTGGTTCTATAAGTTCAGATCCCAGCTTTTTAAGAAATTGTAATTGAGGGGTATATAGCCTACACTAATATTGGTTGGTTTTCTTACAGCATCAACCTGTAAGGAAATCTAACTGGAGACAGCAGCATGAAGACTTCATTAATGCAATTCGATCAGCAAAGCAGTGCACACTTGCCATTAAAGAAGGCCGGCCTCTCCCACCTCCACCCCCTCCATCCATCAATCCAGGTGTGTGCACTTTTTGGTTCACTTTTGAGACTCAGTTTGGCTTTTTTTTGTACCTGGAATTGAACCCAAGGGAGCTCAACCACTTGAGCCATATTCCCAACTCTCTTTATTATTTATTTTGAGACAGGGTCTCACTAAATTCCCTAGAGCCTTGCTAAATTGCTGAAGCTAGCTTTGAGCTTGTGATCCTCCTACATCAGCCTCCTGAGTCACTGGGATTACAGGTGTGCACTTCCACACCCAGCTTCTGTTTAAATTTTGGCCCAATCATCATACCTCCTATATACTCTAAAATTGATAGTAGCAATTACATAAAAGTAATTTTTTTTTTTAAACCAGGGATTGAACTCGGGGGCACTTGACCACTGAGCCACATCCCTAGCCCTTTTTTGTATTTTATTTAGAGACAGGGTGTCACTGAGTTGCTTAGTGCCTAGCGAGAAGTAATTTTATCGGGCTGGGGATGTGGCTCAAGTGGCAGCACGCTCGCCTGGCATGCGCGGGGCACTGGGTTCTACCCTCAGCACCACATAAAAATAAAAAAAAATAAAGATGTTGTGTCCACCAAAAACTGAAAAATATTTAAAAAAATTCTCTCTCTCTTTAAAAAAAAAGTAATTTTATCAATTATATAAAATTAAAAGTAAATGTGTGTGTTGTATAATGTATATAGTATATATTATCCTTTCCCCCAACCAATTCTGCATATTCTGTTTTCTTTCTGTCTCAACATGAGGTAACCACTGTGCCTTTTTGGTGTTATTATGTGACTCCAGGGGATACCATTTGCACCGTGACTAAGAACAAGGAGCTTTGCAGAACTGAGTTTAAGCAGTTCCACAAGAGTTCCATGGAGTTTCAGATATCCACAGCTCTTTTTTTAAAAAATGATTTAGTGGCTCATAGCTTTGTTATTCCAACCTTTTTATTTTGAAATTTTTCACATCTAGAAAAGAGGAAGGAAGAGTAGCATGGTCACCCATATACCTTCTGCTGACATTTGACAGTGTTAACATTTCTCTTTCTCTCTCTCTTTCTCTCTCTGGCAGACCATTTAAAAGTGAAGTTTCAAATATCCACACTTTATCCTTAAATATTTCAATATACATTTTTTAACATAAGTACATTTTCCTGTATAACCACAATGCTATTCTAACACTTAAAACACAATCTCATGTTTTCCCAGTTATTTTAAGAATGTCTTTCAAACTTCTCTCACCCCAGCCCCAGACCCGGCCCGAGCCACAATCCAGGATTCAGTCAAGGGTTACATGCTGCCCTTTGTTTTCTCTTCCGTTTTTTTAAATCTTACCCTACCAGACTGTTTGTCTTTTAGAATGCCTCATGTTCTATATTTGTCTGCTTGTTTAGTCATATTAATATTTAACTTGTTCCTTTATCCCATATTTTTCAATTGGAAGTTAGGGCCAGAGGCTCAGTTGGGTTAATTTTAATCCTTTATCAAATATATGATTTGCAAATATTTCCTACCATTCTGTGTACCGGCTCTTGATTTTCTTGATAGTGGCCTTTAATGTACAAAATTTTTGAATTTGGACAAATTCTAGTTAATTTACTTTTTTCTTCTCATGTACCTGCTTTTGGTGTCATATCCGGAAAAAAAAAAAAAATGCCAGATCTAAAGCTACAACTCTTGTCCCTGTGTTTTCTTTTTTAAATAGTTTTAGCTCTTATGTTTAAAAGGTCTTTGATCCAGTCTGAGTTAATGTTTGTGTGTGCCTTAAGGTAAGTTTTCAACTCCATTCTTGGACAAGTAGATAACCAGTTATCTTAACACCATTTAAAGACTGTTTTCCCCATTAAATGATCCAGGCACTCTTATTAAAACTCAATTGACAGTATATTTGAGGGTTTAATCTGGACTTTCTGTTCTGTTCCATTGTCTGATAAATCTGTCTTTATGGCAGTACCACCCTATTTTGATTGCTATAACATGACAGTTTTGAAATCAGGAATTGAGTGAGTGCTTCAAAATATAACCAAAGTGGTTCTGCTTATTTCTGAGTTCTTTGAGATTCCATATAGAAATTGGAATTTTTTTTCTATGTCTGTAAAAAATACTATTTGGGGATTTTAACAGAGATTTGATTGAACTCATGGGTCATTTTGAGTAGTATTGTCACTTTATCAATATTGTCTTACAATCCATGGACACAGGATGTCTTTTCATTTATTTATGTTTTCTTAAATTTATTTCAGCAGTATTTTGTAGTTTTTAGTGTACAAGTCTTTTGTCCTCCTTGGTTAGATTTATTCCTATGTATTTTATTATTTTTAATTTTACTATAAATGAAATTGTTAACTTCTCAGAGTGTTCATTGCTAGCATATAAAAGTGCAACTTATTTTGATATGCTGACTTTGTATCCTGCATCTTTGCTGGGTATATTTATTATCTCTAATAAATATTTTTGTAGAATCTTCAGATTCTCCACATATATGAGTGTCATCTTTAAGTGTCATCTCTCTATTTCTCATGCCTTTTATTTCTTTCTTGTGCCTAAATCTTCTGGTGAGAACTTCCAATATTATGTTGAATAGAAGTGGCAAAAGTGGGCATCCTTGTCTTGTTTTCCATTTGAATATGATGTTAGCTATAGGTTGTAATTTTCTATTTAAAGAATAAATAATAGCACATTTGGATAATATTATACAATATGAGAATGAAATATGTGAAAAAATAGCACAAGGTTGAGTGAGGAAAGTGGGGTATATATTGTAGTGTGTTGCATTATATGTGAATAAGTATAGTATTATTTTAAGATAGATTTGAAGTTACTTGAGTAACCACCCAAAAATATTGAGGTGTAGCTAATAATGCAATACATCAAACAGAGATGAAATGGGGGAGACCAATCCAAAAGAGGACAGGAAAAGACGGGGGCAGGTGGGGTGGATAACAGAGAACAGATGGGGAAAAGACAAATAACAGGATGAAAGAATGAAGCCTAGCCATGTGAATAATTTCATATTAATGACCTACAAACTCCAGAAAAAAGACCAGGATCATCAACCCGAATAATAGATCAAAAGTCAACTCTTATATGTTTTTCATAAGAAGCACAAATGGCTATGCTAATATCAAGCAAAATAAACTTCAGGACAAGTGTTTACAGAGATAATGATTCAAAAGATGTACTCCTTAGGAAGATCTATCAATTCTAAATATTTATATATGTAGTAACAGCTTTAATGAATGTGAAACAAAAACTGACACAATTGGAAGGAGAAGCACACAAACTCACAATTATATTTGGAGACTTTATTATTACTCTCTAAGTAATAGAATATATGCAGAAAAGTCAGTTAAGAGTTAGAAAATTTGAGCAGCAGTAGCAACAGTGGGATGAACACCGCTTTCAAGTCCACATGGAACATTCGCCCACAATAGACCAACTTGTAAGAACCACAAAGTGGTTTTCAATAAACCATTAAAAGTATTGAAGGTCGTATAGAATATGTTCTCTGACCACTATAAAATTAGAAATTATTGAAAAAAAATCATGAAAATTTCTGAATATCTAGATCCTAACAAGTCATTTCTAAATAGCCCATGTATCTAAAAAGAAATCTCAGGAGAAATAAGAAAATATTTTTAGGGACTGAGGTTGTAGTTCAGTGGCAGAGCACTTGCCTAGCATGTATAAAGCACTAGGTTCCATCCTTAGCACCACATAAAAATAAACAAATAAGGGCATTCTGTCTGTCCAAAAATTTTTTAATTTTTTTTAACTTAATAATAATTAAAATATATTGAAACATGGGATTCAGCTTATATGGTGACTAGAGAGAATTTTATAGCTTTAAATGTTAGGAATAACGAAAGATTTAAATCAATTATCTTAAACTTTCTCCTTAAAAAGTTAGAAGGGATTGGGATTTAGCTCAATCATAGAGTAGTTGCCTAGCTTGTGTTCAATGCCAGCAATGTAAAAAAGAAGAAAAAAAACAATTGAAACCTAAATTAAGAATATAACAAATGTACTTCATCAAATAACAAAATATTTTTAAAAGCCATGATCATTTCAAAAGAGAAAAAGCCTTTGACAAAGTGTAACACCTATACATATTTAAAACAAAATAAGAAGCCTATCAGTGAAATAGAAATAGAAGGAAACTTCATCCATAAAGGACATTTTAAAGAAATCTACAGCTTATATCACACTTAATGGTGAAAAACCAAACTGAGATCAGCAAGAAAGCAAAGATATCTATTCTGACCACTTCTATTCAACACTACTAGAGATAGTACCCAGTGTAATAAGGCAAGAAATTGTGTGTGTGTGTGTGTGTGTGTGTATAAGAGAGAGAGAAGAAAAATTGGAGAGGTAGAAATTAAACTATCTTTATTCATAGACAACATGTTTATAAAGAAAGAAAAGTAGAAAACTACTCATCTCTAGGATATATAAAATACTCAAAAACCTTAACACCAAAAAAAAATAAATAAAAATAAAAAAATCAATAAATGGGCCAAGGACCTGAACAGACACTTCTCAAAAGAGGATATACAATCATCAAACATACGAAAAAAATGTTCAACATCTTCAGCAATTAGAGAAATGCAAATCAAAACTACACTGAGATTTCATCTCAATCCAGTCATAATACAAAACAGAATACAAAAACAGTAAGTGTTGGCAAGGATGTGGGGGGAAAGACACACTCATACATTGCTGGTGGGACTGCAAATGGGTGTAGCCAATATGGAAAGCAGTATGAAAAATCCTTGGAAAACTTGGAATGGAATCACCATTTGATCCAGTTATCCCACTCCTTGGTTTATACCCAAAGGACTTAAAAACTGCATACTCAGGGGCACAGCCATATCAATGTTTATACCAGCACAATTCACAATAGCTTAATTATGGAACTAACCCAGAATCCCTTCAGTAGATGGATAGGGAAACTTTGGTTTGTATACAGAATGTAACATTACTCAGCATTAAAAGAAAATAAAAACATGGTATTTTTGGTAGG